GACTATATAATATTTATATTAAAAAGTAAACTATTCGATACATGTATTATAAAGTCGACTAAACGATACATGTATTACATATATAATATGTATGATATTTGGCGCAGTTGGCGATCATTTTAAGGCACAGTACTAACTGCGGCTAACACCGTATATAAGATTAAATAAGATCGATTGCATATAATAAATGATTAGTATCTCGTGAAGAACTGAATTAATCATATGATCTTCAATTCCAGGAAGATTCAGCAATGATGAACTTTCAGGCCAACATGCCTGTTTAATGCATTGTAATAATGACATCATATGAAGACATGCTTTTAACATATTATTTACGACCATGATATCAATAATTAACTAATAACAGAGGAAGAAAAAGAAGAATTAGAAATATTTTGTGTATAAAGATGATTGAATATTCAATCTTACATGTAAAATACGAATTGCTTGATCTAAAACCGATAGAGTGTCTGTTACATAATCAGCTATTGCCAATTTGTTCCGTATAAGATGAGCCTGCAAAAGTAAAAATGCTTTCGCATGTAGGCTATCATATGAATAATGAGATTGAACAGACCAAGGAAGTTCCTATTCCAAATCTTGATTTTGGAAATCTTCATTATGTCGAACCGGAAGTTCAGAATATTCGTCTGAATTACATAATATACCTAAGATATCTCAGATGGTTGAATCAATTTCAATATGGTCTCGGACGAGTCTGATCATTTTATGTGAAAGATAATATGATGATGCAAGCCTGCCAAGGGAAGTCAGTTCCACATTAAAATCATCATCCATTTTAATACAATAAGAAAGACTTAACTCTTTCATAGATTTTTCAAACAGCTTGAATAGATAATCGTCAATAGTTTTGAATTCGGCATCATTTAATTCATAATAAGCTGGGTTTTATTGTAATCTACGACATAAATAAGTGTAAGAAAGATATTTAATAGCCTCTTCTTTTGACTTTATAGTACCAGCAACTATTTCGGCATTGAAATGATTTTCAAGTTGCATATGTAAGCTGGACTCTACCGGGAAAGGTTCATACAAAAATTTTTTATAAAAATTCTTTTTTGAATCCTGTACAAATATACAAGCAACCCCACTATCATCGAATTGCGGACGACCTGTTTAATAAAAAAAGAAATAGTATTAGCATCAATAAGCTAAAGCTTTAGCACAAAATTAATCGAGAAATGAAGGGATAGAATGTTGAGAATAATAATTCCGCGTTACGTTACTTACCAGCTCTACTCATCATTTGGAGTACATCAGTAATAGGAAAATCTACATATCCTTTAGACTTGGCATCATAGAATTCGGTTCCTTTGATTACAACCAAATGAGCGGGTAAATTCACGCCCCAAGCCAAGGTGCTAGTTGAAACTAAAACTTGAATTTTTTGTTGTAGAAATAATAATTCTATTATCATCCGATCACTTTCAGATAATCCAGCATGGTGCAGCCCAATGCCAAAAGTAAGAGTACTTTTCATGCTACTATCCTTGATTTGAGATAGATTGATTTGTAATTCTTCTTTAGTCATTCTCAAAAAATGATAAGGGTTCTCAGTCAAGCAACAATACGCAATCAAATCCTGAGCTGTCAAACGTGTTTGGCGTCGTGATGAAACGAAAACAATTACAGGCTTTATAGGAGAATGTCTCATAATATTAATAAAGATCGGTTTATTCATAGTAGCCATACGAGGACAATAGTGTCTTCCAGAAAATCCTTCAATATGAATTTCTAATGGAACAGGACGTACTGAATGACTAAAATTGAACAATCCACCCTCATCAATACACAACCAGTCTGCTAGATCCTGAGCGTTTGCTAAAACTGTTGATAACCCAACAATACGAACTTTGTTTTCGGTTTGAGAACTGATGTAATTCATTCGTGATACAATAACCTCTAGAATAGGTCCTCTATCACCACCGAGTAAATGAATTTCGTCAATAAT